GAGGGAGGGAAGCATCCGACCTCGGCAAGAGCAAGTGATGAAGATTAGATCTTCTGATGCATGCTCAATAATCCAGGTAGAAAAATCCAAAAAAGTTCAATCTGGTCCTACGTCCAGAGGACCAGATTGAACTTTTTTGGAAGATTAGATCTTATTACTGTTTTTCTTTTACATTTTATTGTTGGATGTAACTGGACCCTGTGAACATAATCTCATTCCACCACATGTGATGTGTATGACAAATAAATCTCTCTGACTCTGACATATCTGTGTGAGAAGCTGTTCTCATGGATGAAGATGAACAAAACAGCACACAGGAGTCTCACTGACGAACACCTGCAGTCTGTCCTGAGAGTCTCTGCAACACAGGAACTCGCATCAAAACTTCAACAAACTTGTTGCCAAAAAAAGTTGCCAAGCATCTAGCTCTGATAAAATGTTACAAGAGCAAAGAAACTGGATGTTTTGCTCTGTTGTTATTTTAATGTTTACCTAAAAGCACTTTTTTTTCAGTTTTTTTGTGCAGATAGTTCTAACTTGTATCATTTTGACAGGATATACTTTTTTGTAGAGCAAAGTGTTTTGAGTTATTTAAAGTTGACGTTTGTTTATTCTGAAATAATAGTCCCGTCTGTTTTTATTTATATTTATGTAAAAAAAGTTTTGTTGTGTTTAATAAATGTTTATCCTGTTTGGCCCGCAACCTAAAGTGTGCAGTTGAGTATGACACCCCTGGTAGAGATTGGGCAGCCGACTTGGGACCAGAAAGTCGCAGGTTCAACTTCCCAACATGTCCACATGTTGTGGTGTCCTTGAGCAAGACACCTTATCCCCAATTGCTCCCCGGGCACTTACATAGCTGTCCACTCTCTACCTGGGTGCATGTCAGGTGAGATGGTTAAATGCAGAGAACTAGTGTCATCGTTGTATAGAAACATCCAGTCATGACAACATGTAGCACTTTCTTTCTTCTGAGCCGAGTCATGTCAGCTGTATGGGATGGACTGAGCCGTACGTCAACCAGGCATATCTAATTACCCACAATGCAGCTGAACAATCCAACATTAAAACACAGTTTGCTCCTCCTGATGTTCCAGTAATCAGAGCTATGGACTGCACACACCTTGTTATAAAAGCTCCACCACAGGATGAAGACGTTTATATTTACAGGAAGTTTTTCAGGCAGCACGGTGGCGCAGTTGGGAGAGCTGCCACCTCTCAGCAAGCAGGTTGCTCCGGTTCAAATCCCGGTCCAGGGGTCTTTCTGGGTGGAGTTTGCATGTTCTCTCCGTGCATGCGTGGGTTTTCTCCGGGTATTCCGGTTTCCTCCCACAGACCAAAAACATGCATGTTAG